ATTTATATTTATTTATATTTATATTTATTTATATTTATATTTATTTATATTTATTTATATTTATATTTATTTTTTTGTGTGTAGGTTTTACTGCTAGGGAGTGGCTCAGCTGACCGTTCTATCTGTCTATACAACCTTGGCCTCATCCGCAACCTAACTTCTGCTGCTGCTGCTGCTGCTGCTGCTCCTGCTGCTGCTGCTGCTGCTGCTGCTGCTCCTGCTGCTGCTGCTGCTTCTTTTTCTTCTGTTTCTTCTTTTTCTGCTGCTGCGTCGGCGAAGCTGCTGGTGGCGAGGCTTAAGGGCCACGAAGACAGAGTCAACCAAATTCTATTTCATCCTACAGGTAAATATAAATATAAATTTATTTATTTATTTTTATTTATATTTATATTTATTTATTTATATTTATTTGTATTTATTTATATTTATTTATGTTTATTTATTTTTATTTATATTTATTTATTTTTATTTATATTTATTTATATTTATTTTTATTTATTTATGTTTATTTATGCTTATTTATATTTATGTTTATGTTTATTTATATTTATTTGTATTTGTTTATATTTATTTACTTATATTTGTATTTATAACATACTTATATTTTTATATTTTTATATTTTTATATTTTTATATTTTTATATTTTTATATTTTTATATTTTTATATTATTATATTATAAAAAAACAAAAACATTTTTATAAAAATAATATAATATATAATTTAATTTTTTTTTATTTTTTTTTTGTTGCTGCCGTTTTTTAATAAATAAAAAAAACAAGAAAACCAAACAAAAAACAACTAAATACTAATATAACTTAATCCCTCTATTTATTTATTTATTTATTTATTTATATATTTATTTATTTATTTATTTATTTATTTATTTATTTATTTTTTATATGCAGGCCGCTTGCTGCTGTCTACCTCTCACGACGAAACGTGGCGCCTTTGGGATGTCGAAACCCAAAAAGAAATACTCCTACAGGTCCTTCTTTTTTTTATTTTTTTATTTTTTTATTTTTATTTTATTTTTTTATTGTTTTGTTTTGTTTTGTTTTATTTTATTTTTTTATCTTGTTTTGTTTTGTTTTGTTTTGTTTTTGTTTTATTTTGTTTTGTTTTGTTTTGTTTTGTTGTGTTTTATTTTGTTTTGTTTTGTTTAATTTATTTTATTTATTCTGTTTTGTTTTATTTATTTGATTTTATTTATTTTATATGTTTTGTTTATTTTATTCTATTTATTTTGTTTTATTGTATTTTATTTATTTCAATTATTTTATTTTTTGTTTATTTTATTTATTTTGTTGCCTATTGTATTTTGTACTTTATTTGTTTTGTATGTTTTGGTGCTGTATGTTGTTGGTTTTGATTTATTTTGTTTTCTTTGTTTTCTTTGTTTTTTTTTGTTTTTTTTAATTTATTTTGTTTTTGTTTTTTATTTTTGTTATTTGGCGACAAACTGCAAACGAAGATATCAATAAAAACAAATGATAAAACTATCAAAACAACAACA